CATCATCACCATCATCAGCATCACCATCATCATCCTGTCATGTGCATGCTAGCATCATGTCCTCATCAGCATGTCGCTTAGCATCATGTCGTCATCATCATGTCGTTATTACCCCCCCCCCCACCCCTCCACCCCCCCCGATCCGAAGTTCCAAAGCGAGCCGGAAATTCCAAACTCCGAAGTCCTGAAAACAAAGATGTTCCCGGGAAACCCCCAGGGACAGACCTCATGTTATCAACGTGATTTGAGTTCTCATCCTGTTTGTCGTTGTCATTATGCCTGTGCTGGAAGATTCCCCGCATGTGATCGAGGTCGCCAATAGCGATCTCCAAGCTCGGGATGTGGCTGTGGAGACAACAGTGCAGACTGCCCGGGATCAACAAGTTGAACTTGAGCGGAAGCTGGAGCGCAGTCGTGCAGACTTCGAGGCCTGCCAGGCACAGCTGATGCAGCTACAGCAAGAACACAGCAGCTTGCGGCAGCAGCATACAGAGCTGCAACAAAAAATGGAGGGAATCGAAGCAGAAGCTCGGCAGCAAATTGTTGTTCGAGGGCATGGTCTGTTGCGTACTCTTGACCACTAGGTTCCATAGCCTTCGTACGGGGTGTCGGACTTCGTGCCGTGCGACTGCGAGGGTTTTGGGGTTTACACTTGCTGTGTGGTGGATTGTTGGCTGGTTGAGGGTTCGTCACATGGGCCATGGTGCTGAAGAGCTTGTCATCAAGCAAAGGTTTACTCTTCTAATATTACTTGCAAACCCTATATGCCCCTTTCAAAAGCCCGGTACAGAGGTATAAAACGCCTACAGAGTGGTTATCTCTATTTCCGCCCAAAAATAGTAGGTTGTGACTGCTTTAGGTAACCCCAAACCCTAAGCTTATGCCCAACTTTGAAATTGAAGAACCCCAGGAAGTCTCCACCCTGCATGTCTGTTTAGGGTTTCAGTTGACTTGACATTCAGCAGGTCTTCAACTCTGTACTCTCACCGCCACGCCCAACAACGCCGTGAACAAGCCCTCAACTTATGTTAACCCCAAATCCTAAAGCCTACCCTAAACCCTTAGCCCTAAACCCTAAAGCCTAAACCCTAAGCCCTAAACCCTAAACCCTAAACCCTTACAGGTCACTGCCTGGCTCGGAGGAGCTCTCGGAGACGTGGCCGGACCTCGGCACGAAGCCGACTCCTGATGGCCCAG